GAGCACATTTCTTCTACCACTCACTTCTACCTCTGTGACTTTTTAAATGATCTTTCTCTTATAAAACAAAAACAACAAAAAAAGGAACCAAAGTTTACGATGAAACAAAGCATTAAACAAAGGCACAAAGTCTCTATTGCTAACCACTTCCTTATTTTGTTTTCTGTCCTAAAAGAGTAATTGTCTCTCTGAAAGATACTCTACAAACATCAAAAAGGAATTGCTAAGTAGGACAGCTCTGAGTGCCCAAGCGTACATGGCTTTGAGGGCTGTTTGTTAGCTGCCATTTAACATCATCATATCTGCTGACAAATTAAGAGAACTATTCTTATTTTCTTTCATATTAGCCATCTCATGCAAGGCCTTGTTATTAAAGGTGGGTGGGTGCCCTTGGGTTCCCTTCTAATACGTCTGAGAAATGCTGTGATTCAACAAGCATGACTCTTTATTTCAGTGCATTGTTTTCAGGGCATTAGTCATGTCGGGAAGAATCACCCCAGATCACAGTAGATCATTCAAGTCTGAATCATACAAAGTTTCTAGTCTCTTTTTCTAGTCTTCAAATTTTTCTTCTCCGTGGTCATCATATAATGTTTCTCAGGGATAATTTTTAAAAAGGATCTACCTACATTCTCAGTTCTATCCTTTCAAGTAAACTTAGATTCTGACAGCATGCAAAGTATTATTTTGGGGGACCAACTTTTAGGGCTCATCCTACTTCCTGGCGGGTGCTATTCATTACAAATCTGCTGAAAATCATCCAATATATTATCCTCCATGAAATTGAGGTGGATCTGATTTTATTTATTTATTCATCCTCACTCGAGGAGGACATTTTTCCATTTGCTCAGACAGAGTGGGAGGGAAAGAGAGGAAGAGAGAGACAGAGAGAGAGAAACATCGATGTGAAAGGAACACATCGAGTGGCTGCCTCCCGCACAACCCCAACCGGGGCCGGGGACAAACTGCAACCGAGGTACCGTGCCCTTAGCGGGAACCGAACCGGGTCTCTCTGGACCGTGGGCTGATGCGCTAACCGCTGAGCCAAACCAGCCAGGGCGAGGTGGATCTGATTTTAAAGCTGTTTACTTATGTTAGGCTTATATATGGATGTTTTCAGTATTACCTGACTTACTCATTTGATCCTGTCCAGAAACACTTCAAGTTCTTTTTTCCCTTTCTCTAAGGAGCAGAGCGCTTTTGGTTTCAGAAATCTGCAAATGCGAGAAGTGGATTAACCGTAGTCTGCACGCACATTGTTATGGAGACTGACCTTGGGAAACACAGTGTCCTGGATTTCTCAGGGTTCCAGGGAGAAGCCCCAGCCTCCCGCGACTCTGCAGGGACTGTGATAATTAGATCTACAGCCATTTGTCCTGTTAATTGGTCTCTGAAAGGATGATAAAGTTCCTCTGATCTCAGGGAGAGGGCCAGATGGCTGCAGCTGGGCCCAGGCCTTCTGGTGAAGCCCCAAGGAGCTGGAAGATTCCAGCACTCACCATAGGTACTGACATCAAAGGGGGTGAAGTCCCAGAACTTGGAGACTCCATTAGGCAGTGAGCGGAGACACACCGGGGCTGTCTAGCTCCAGGAGAGATTATTTACAGCCAAACGGTAGAGGATAGGTGTCAGGCCCACCAGGCTTCCAAGGAGAGTCCTTCAGGAAGGGAGGGGCATAGTAACCTCCTTCCTCCTTAGAAGCAGACAAACTATTTTTCCTCATCCTTCACCTGCAGAGCGTTTGGCTGCTTGCACAGCACATTTGATCCTTAGCCCCGGGGAAAGCCTTGGATGAGCGGGTGGCGTGATGCACTTACTATTTATGTTAAGGTAATTGATAAGGAATCTGTCTCTGATGCAGAGCACCTCGTGTGCATTCGGGATAAGGTTAATAACAATGAATATTAAAAACCAAGTACGGTCCGGCAGGTGTGGCTCAGTGGTTGAGCATCAACCCGTGCACCAAGAGGTCACCGGTTCGATTCCCCGTCAGGACACATGCCCGGGTTGTGGGTCCAATCCCCAGTGAGGGGCATGCAGGAGGTGGCCAATCAATGTTCTCTCTTATTGATGTTTCTATCTCTCCCTCTCCCTTCCTCTCTCTCTAAAATCAGTAAAGAAAAAAAAATATTTAAAGGATCATTAATGAGGGGTTCATCCCAGGAGCTTTGCTGTGTGTCCTCTTCAGGACTGGAGGGAGCTGGGAAAACCATGTGGAAGATGAGGCTCCATGCCCAAATTCTCCTGGGAGATAAGTCACTCTCTCCCAGTCAGTTCCCATCCACAGAGAAGTATTTGAACTTGATCCCCGTCAAAACAGTCTCCTCCCTCCTCTACTTCCTTCTCCATTTAGAAACCACAAGCACCTGTGCTAGACCAAAAATGGCGCCCAGAATGAGGGGCCTAGATCTTGAGTTTTTAAAAAATCCTCCCCTGAGAATATTTTTCCATTAATTTTTAGGTAGAGCAGAAGAGAGGGACGGGGGGAGAGAGAGAGAGAGAAACATTGATGTGAGAGAGACACATCGATTGGTTGCTTCCCGCTTGACTCCAGTTGGGGGGGGGGATCAAACCTGCAACCCTTCGGTCCTCAGGCTGATGCTCTAAATGCTGAGCCAAACCGGCCAGGGCTAGATTTTGAATTTTAAATAACCAGGAAACTCCCAGAAGTACCTTTGTCTTCATCGGTGAGGTTTCTATCGTCCTGAGCAACAGAAACCAGCTGACAGACTTATGCTGAAGATGGATATTTTCAAAATGCACAATTAGCTCGTGGAATTAGGGAACAGCAGAAGACCAGATCAGGACGGACAGGAACTCAGGGAGTAAGAGAATCTGAGCTCCATCCGAGTGGTCAGGATGCTGAAGTTGAGATACATCTGCTCCCACTTTTCCCCTTTCCTCTGGCCCCTCAGCTCTACTGCTGGAGGTTTTCAGCCACAGGTAGCAAAGATCGAGACCGAGAATGGCTTAAGTAGTAGAGGTGTTTCAGTGTCTTGCGGAGAGGAGTGGTTGGGGGTTGGTGAGCCAGTTCCCGCATGTCACCGTCTGCATCTCCAATCGTCGGCTGTTCGGTCACGTGATGGCCACCGCAGCTCCAAATACAGTCTCTCTGTATTGCAAGCGGGAAAAGAGCCGGACAATAGGAATAGGGGGTTCCTTTTAGTAAGGGGGCCTCCCATCATCCTTCCCTTTATAATTCATTGGCTGGATTATAAAGGCCACCTCTAGCCACGAGGAGGGCTGGGAAGGGGAGGGTCCGGTGTAAGGGATCGGAAGAGCAGTGACTGGCTTACCCCGGGGCCTCCTTTCCAGGGCTGAGCACGTTGCTGCCCCAAATCAGGTTCTGTCAGCCAAGAAGACGGGGCAGTAGCTCTCAACATTCCACACCCAGCAAAGAGACTAACTGAGAGCCAATGGCCTAGCTGGGTGGCCACGTTCGTCACAATGCCTGATAAAGGGTAAGGCTCCTAAAGGAAGCGGGATCCTGAGGCTGGAAGATGGGAGATGGAAGCTGTGTCAGAGGCTCCGCCCTCCCTCCCTCCCTGACGACTGGCCTTTTCAGACAGCAGGTGGTATGCCGGGAGAGGCTATACCATGCATGGGGCCCAGTGCAAATAAAAATGCAGGACCCTATTGTTCAAAAGTTAGCAAGGATTTAAAGATGGTGACAGCAGAGTGTTAAACAAGCAGGGGGCCCTTGGGAGCCCCGGGCCACTTGCCTCTGCACAGGTCACAGGCTCTCTCATTAAGCCTGCCTGTCCTCTCCCGGAGCAGATTGACCATCCCAGGACCGTAAACTTGGGTCTTTTTTGGGTTGTATGAAATTGGATTAAATACATTCATGGATGGTGAGGAAAGCTATGATTTGTATTGTTATAATTAACATGCATCTAGGCCTCAGTACTAACTCTGTTAAAGAGCAAAGAAAGAGCCCTGGCCAGTCTGGCTCAGCAGTTGGAGCATTGGCCTGTGGACCAGAGTCCCGGGTTCGGTTCCCAGGTTCCCACTTAGGGCACGTACCAAAAATAGAAAAGAAAAAAAAAAAAAGAGCAAAGAAGAGGTGTTCACACCCTTTCTGTGCATATCGGGGAGGCAGAATTCAGAGAAGACTGAGTTCTCCAGGCCTTCCATCCTCCTCCACACGGAGCAGAGGAAGGGATGAAGTCGCTTTGCCTTCATGCCCGTTCAGGCTGGGATGCCAGTCTGATCATCACAGGCCCTGTGCCATGCAATGTATTATCTCCATGTTACAGATGAGGTTGCTGGGGCTCAGAGAGGTCCATGATTATCCGTGGGACATGGTCCAGCTGGGGTTGGAAGCTAGGCAATCTGAACCCAGAGCCCGTGCTCTTCAAGATTCGAATAAGTCGAGTGGGTTTGGGGAAATTATAAACAATTGGGTTGGTGAGACCAGATATAAAGGGGCTGTTTTTTGTTTTTTATTTTTTTTTATTGGTGGGGGAGGGTGGTCTTAGAATCCTAGGGCCCAAGAGGTTTGATAAAGTATGCCACAGGGATATCACTCAGCCACAGAAATGCAGGCTGGATGACAGCCCCAAAGACATCAAAGGAGATGAGCCAGGAAGCCTGAGCCAGGAAATAAACATAGTTTTTCTAAAAAAAGAGTGTCTGTCGCCCTGGCCGGTTTGGCTCAGCAGTTAGAGTGTTGGCCTGCGGTTCAGAGAGACCCGGGTTTGGTTCCCACTAAGGGCACGTACCTCAGTTGCAGTTTGTCCCCGGCCCTGGTTGGGTCGTGCGGGTAGCAACCACTCGATGTGTCCTTTTCACGTCGATGTTTCTCTCTCTCTCTTTCTCTCTCTCCCTTCCTCCCTCCCTCCCGCCCTCCCTCCCACTCTATCTGAACAAAATATGGAAAAATGTCCTCGGGTGAGGATTAAAAAAAAAAAGTGTCTGTCATACATGGTCAGTTTTTGAAATGAATCCACAGGCCAGGAACATTTGTCTAAATACTTTTAATGACAATACATTGTAATAGGATGAAAGCCAGAGGGTAAAATGCAGTGTTCACGTTTACTAGGAAAACAGATGAAGATATTCCAGGTAGCTGAACACATTTTGATAATGAAATTTTAAACAACTTCTTGGTTTTAATTTTATTTAAAATGTTTATGTAGTTTTAAAAAAATAGCTTGCTATTAATTTTCTACCAAAACTCAGGAGGTGCTGAGACATTTTAAGTTAGTAGAGACTCAACCGACATAAATAAAGGTCCTGGTTCAGCTGCAGAATTACCGTGTTCTGAGCTGTTCCATCCATACGTTGGCGATCAACCCATTCCGCCCTATTTGGAGAATAATGCTGGCCTCAAATTAAATGTATCTAATATCCAAGTTCTGTGAAATTGTCAAGTTTAATGAGATAGCTCAGTGAGATTAAGACACTGTTAATCTCATCTCAAAATCAATTTTTTTTTTTTTCCAGGAGAATTCTTGGGAATCTTAAAAATCTCTCACTTTATATAATAAGCAGTATACATTCAAGGGTTGCTATCGAAAAGAATAAGTATGTTCGTATTTTAAAATCCTTATAAAATAGGATCTCACAGTGAGGTGCCCTGGAAACATTTTGCCATCATGAAGAGCAAGGTGCTTACTTTATTGACGTATCTGAAATACTTGGTACAGACGAAAGCATTCTCTGTGCTTGGACCTTAGAATATGCTGTGCAAGTGTGAGAATGAAAAATGGGGATGGTAAAGAAAAGACTTAGCCCAAACCTCCAGACTTCTCCTATTTAAAAACAGTGTTTACCAGTAAAATGATGTCTGTGCGTAATTTTTTATTGCAGTGTTCTGTTTACTGGCCTGAGATTGGAAATAGTGCAAATGCGCGCCGGTGGTAGAGCATGTAAATGTTATGATACTTCCAGACACGAAAATCATACATTTCTTTGCAAAAGCTTCAAGTTTCTTTATAACAAATTCACCATAATAGTGGTTGCTTCCAGGAAGGGGGCCAGGGAGATTGGGTGCCAGGGGTAAGAGGGAGAACGTTTACTGGGTATCCTTTCATACCCATGTAAATATGTTACTACCTATTAAAATAAATTAACAAAAGCTTTTTGAAAGGGTAAAATGATGTCGCTCATCATTATATTCAATGCTATGACTACTCAGATCATGTGATATGTCATCAACTAGATACATCTGTTCCTGACCCTGGGATTAGGAAATGCTCAGACCCACCTAAAAATGGGTGATTTTTTCACAGGGGAAATGAAGGTTCTGCTTTTAGTTTGAGGGACAAAAACAGGCATCGAGCTCCTAGCGTGACTGCTCAGCAAGAGCGTCCTGCGCGGGGTTCGAGGTGCCCGATTCCTGCTGAGTCAAAGGGACAGGACGACTGCCTGCCTTTCCGCTGGACACTTCTGTCCTTGAAATGTGGGAGCCAGATTCCTGAAGGGAAACCCCCAACATTCAAAACCCTTGATGTCTCCAACAAAGCATCCCGTGGTGTCAAAGCCCCCTTCTACCTGTGAACTTTCACAATAGAAAAAAGTAGTGTTCTTTACAATAATAGTCAAGGGAGGTAGGGTTCTCAAGTGATGGTGGGAACCTAGAGACACTAGGAAGTTTGGTGATGTTGGAGCAGGAATGTTGGCCAGCAGGTAGCTGAGACTACTGAGGCCACCACTGTGGACCAGCATCTTGGCTGCTGGGCACGCATGGGAGGGGCACCTCACTCCACCTCTTTCTTCTCCTCTGGGATCTCCACCGACAGGACCTGTTTGCCAGGGTCCGGGCCCGGGCTCATGTGGATCCCCACCGAGTGCTCCTCAGGACCAGCTGTCCCCTCCTCAGTTGCCCCTGGAGAGGCAGGTGGCTGAAAGCCTGGGGCTGGGGCTTCTGGGGGTGCAGGCTGGTGGGGGGCGGTGGAGCCTGCCTCTCCCGTGGAGTCTTCTGAGCTCTTGGCCTGGAATTTCAAAGGGGTGACTGGTGAGGCTGAGAACATTCAAGGGGCCTTGGATACCTCCCCGTTCCCCTTGTCAGACCCCCAAGGAAGAGGACGGTGGAGTGCTCAGCAGGTGCAAGCTAATGAATGGAAGACTGGGCAGAGCTGCATCAGGGTGACTTGTAGAGACAATCTATTATGGGGGACGTTTACGGATTAAGTCTCGGTTGGGCCCTGGCCGGTTTGGCTCAGCAGTTAGAGCGTCGGCCTGTGGACCAGAGAGACCCAGGTTCAGTTCCCGCTAAGGGCACGTACCTCGGTTGCAGTTTGTCCCTGGCCCTGGTTGGGTCATGTGGGTGGCAGCCACTCGATGTGTCCCTTTCACGTTGATGTTTCTCTCTCTCTCTGTCTCTTACTCTCTCTCCCTCCCACTCTATCTGAACAAAAAATGGAAAAATGTCCTCAGGTGAGGATAAAAAAAAAAAGAGTCTTGATTGGGCCCTGGCTGGTTTGGCTGAGAGTTAGAGCACCGACCCGCAGACCAATGGGTCACAGGTTTGATTCCGGCCAAGGGCATGTACCTCAGTTGCAGTTCATCCCCGGCTCTGGTGGGGGTCGTGCGGGAGGCAAACAGTTGATGTGTCCCTCTCACGTCGATGTTTCTCTCTCTCCCTTTCTCCCTCTATCTCCCTCCCACTCTGCAGATAAATGGAAAAATATCCTTGGGCGAGGATTAAAAAATAAAAAAGAGTCTTGGTTGGACTTAGTGGAAGGTCCTGGGGAGATATCTTAGGTCTCCATTGAATCACAGGGCTGAACCCTTCCCTGCCCCCTCAGTTCCAGGGCTGTGTGCTCCTGGGTAAATGAGAAAAACTCTAAGCAAACAAGAAAAAGGCTGATGAGGGCTGGAGCAGCTGTGGCCTGGCCACCTTTCTGAAAGGTCTCAAAGGTTGAGATCCCCAAGGGCTGCTGGCACTAGGCTGGGCTGAGCCCCATGTTTGGGGACTTGGTGGATACCTCCAGCCTCCAGAGGGCAGGCTCCCTGTGGATGCTGGCCATAGTCTGTGTATCAGTAGGGAATTGGTTGAAAACCCATACTTTTGTGGGTACCCATGGCCGCTCCTGCCCTGTCCAACCCCATCTCTGCACAAAAGGACACGGGGACCAGAAGGAGCGGGGGTATACAGATGTCCAAGGCCCCCTTGAAATGGTGGTGCTGAGTTAAAGTGAGAGCATTAGTGTGCTTGTGAGGGACAGAGACCCCTGAAGTTTGTCCGAGTCCTAAGGTGTTGCAGGAAGGGGAGTAGAGGATGGGGGAAAGATGCTCCTAGAACCCAAGGCATCTGGGGGACTTGCCACTCCCTCTGCGCCAGTGTATCTGCATCTTTGTCACACCTGTTCCATCTGCTCTGTCCACTCCAAACTCTGACAGCACACTTCCAAGGCAGGATGCCCAAATGGTGCCCACTGTGGGACTTCCCCAAGCATCCTACTATAAATGGAACCAGAAGAATCATGGAAAGGTTGGTCCAGGGCTTCATCAGGTTCAAAATGCTTTTGTAAAAGGCGTCCCGGATATCCTACTTCATCTCTGACACCCCACGTGGCAACCACAAGGCATCAGAGTCTCGAAGGCTTGTGTAGCCCCCGGGGCACACAGCTGGAGGGACAGAGCCCAGATGTGGGCCTGTGTCTTTGAGCGGCCATCTAAGAGCTCCATGCTCTCTGCCATTCTGCCTGGTTCTGAGCTGCGGGGGAAACGCTTTCATTGGAACATTCGTGCAAATTTAATTCACATCTCCAAGCTGCCTCGGTGAAGAGCTAACATTAGGATCCCATTTCAGATAAAGTCTGTCGCTATCCTGAAAACACTCTTACAGCTCATGTCAACTCAGCCAGCTCGAAAGACCCCCAACTTCCAGCTTGACGCTGCCCTTGACTGTTTGTGAGCCAGACAATTGTGTCTGCCCTCTCTCTGGGGCCATTGGTGACTGTCGCTGGAGAACTGGAGCCCCAGGTGGCTTTGCTATCACTCCTCAGACCCCTGCTGTCACATGGCTCCTGACAGATTTCTTGGACTCTGACACCAGCCTGGATTGAGCTCCTGTGACTTGTCTCACGTGGACTGCTGCCCCTTCCCTGCCACCGAGCTCCTGCCTGATCCCATCCCCCTTGCCCAGCAGCCTCCCTAAAGGACAGTAATGAGCAGACATAATTAATGCAATCATTCTAATTGGCATTCTGGGCATTAGTCACAGAACTAAGTCCCAGAACTAATTTTAAAATTCCCTTTAGATTTATGGGGGTAGGGGTAGTCAGCACCATGCCTGTCGCCTTTCTAAATATTTTAAACGGTCACAGACACAGCATTAACTATGAGAACATCACTTTTATCTGGGAAGGGAGGGATATTCCCCGCCCACGTCAGGACTTCCCTTTGGGAGATCCACTGCTGCCCCTCGGCACAGGGAGGGGCATGTGAGCCTCTGCAGAGCACCCCACTGAATGGCTCAGGAAGTGACATGTGATGCCAGTGAGCCCAGGAGTTTTTGCTGGACTTACTGGGAAGGAGGTAGTTTCCGGAGGAGTTGCTAAGCCAGGAGGGTGTGATGCTGGAGCTCTTGGGGCCAGCCTGGGGATGGAGTCATCCCCGAGGAAAGCAGAGGTGATGGAAGGCTCACCTTGTCCTGTCAGCATCATTTGAGCTTTGGGACCCAGCCTTGGCTGAACTTTTATTTAATTGTTATTTAATTTTATTTTTTTAATCCTCACCCGAGGACATTCTCTCATTTTCTGTTCAGATAGTGGGAGGGAGGGGGGAGAGAGAGAGTGAGAGAGAGAGAGAGAGAGAAACTTCGACGTGAAAGGGACACACCGAGTGGCTGCCACCCACACGACCAACCAGGGCCGGGGACAAACTGCAACCAAGGCACACGCCCCCAGCGGGAACCGAACCCCGGTCCCTCTGGGCCGCAGGCCGACGCTCTAACCGCTGAGCCAAACCGGCCAGGGCTGGCCGAACTTTTAAATTACTTGGCCCAATAAATGTCTTTTCTTGAGTGAACATGAGCTGTTGCTGTTATTTGCAACCAAACCAGCCCTGAGCAGAAAGAAAGGCAGGGCTTCCCTAAAATCGCCTGCGGTGCTCGAGCCCCGCCTCCTCCTGCACGCAGTGGAGAGCTGGTCACGGGGCCCAACCACGTCACCTGCTCCAGCAGCTGCTGCTGCGTCGCAGCCGCCTCCAGCGCAGCCAGCTCTTTGAGTCGCGCCCTGAGGTGAGCCAGCTGGCCGCTCTTTGCCCCCTTGGCGCCCATCTTTCCCGTGGCGGCCAGGGCGGCATTGAAGAGCTTGGGGGTGCCGGCCCGGGGCGGAAGGATGAGCACGCTCTTCCCCTTGGGCTTGTTGTTACTTCTCAGCATGCGCCTGGAAGAAAGCAGCAAGTGGTCGCCAGCGCTCTGGGACAGCGCGAAGGCGCGGCCGCCTTGCCCTTCGCGTCGGGCTCGTGTGGCCGGGGCGGCTGACGGACCATCTCCGAGGGCGCTTTCTGAGCCAAGGTCCACAGCATCTCACTGGGTGGTCAGAACACCCAGTGGGGGTCTCATTGCCTGCACCCCACAGATGCGGAAATGGGGCTCAGAGGGGTTGAGTAACTTTTCTGAGGTCACACAGGAAGTAATGAAGGGTACTTCAGTGTATGGAGTCAGCAGTAAGATGCCCCGATGGAAAAGGACCCACACTTTTTGCTTCTCCTCCTTTTGCTTCATCGTCACTTCACCATCGGCCCCATCACCACTGCTGGTACTTACCCGGTGTCTGTCAGGCCCTGTGCCCATCACACTTTGGTGGCCTCTGTGATTCTCCTCCTGGTGTTCACACCTCTGCGATCCCCACCCCGGAGGGTGAGTGGGACATGTGACTTACTTCCAATCGACAGAAGACAGCACAGGTGACCAAACACCACATTTGTGGATGTGTCACCCAGGACTGTGATCTCAGCCTTGCAAGGACAAGCCTTGTGTTTGATGAAGCAAGCGGCCACAGCGGGGAGGTGATGTGGCCAGAGCCTAAGGGCAGCCCCTGGCTAACAACTAGCCAGGGACTGAGGCCCCGGTCCTACAACCACAAGAACTGAATTCCACCAACAACCACGTGACCTTGGAAACAGCTCCCTCTCCACTTAAACTTGAAATGAAACCCTGCTCCAGCCAACATCGTGATTACAGCTTCATAGTGGGCCCGCCCCTGCCGTCTCCAGACTTCTGACCCTCAGACACTCTAAGATAATAACTGTGTGTGGTTTAAAGCTACTGAATTTGTGGTGATATTGTTGTGCAGCAATAGGTACCTGATGACACACTCTGTCATTTAAGCCTCACGGTAATCCTCGGGTAGGTCCTATTATTTCCCCTCATTTCAAATGGAGAGATAGAAGTCCAGAGAGGGTGAGTAACTTTCCCAAGGCCACACAGCTAAGAAGTGTCAGAGCTTATGCCTCTGACCCCAGCATCCCAGACCTTAATGATCACAAAGCAGCATCATGGTCATACTCTTCTCGGGTGCAGACAACACCCCTGAAACATGAAAAGGGCTGGGATTATTGTACCCGTGAGAGTTGGGGAAGCTGAAGCTCAGAATGGGGACAGTGACATGCCCAAGGTTGCTAGGAAGTGGCAGAGACAGCATAACAACCCGGACTAATTGCAGTATATCACCCGGCTTCCCTAAATGAGGATCGAATCTTCCATCCCACAGAGCTCCAGCCTTTCCTAAGGAATTCTTCACGCTACCAATTTATGATGAGTGGTTCAGCTCAAGAACAAATGGATTTCGCCTGCAATCTAGGAGAGCCTACACTGCTAATTGGCAAATTCATTCATCAGGCTTCGAGCAAAATGTGTTTGTTTAAAAATGAGGCCATCACTGGCTGCTGATCTAATCAGAGGCAATGGATTTAAATTGTGCATATTGATATTAATTGCCCAAGACTTGCATTTTCTAGCTGGGGCTCCCCCAGGAGAACACACACATGACAATTCATCAGAGGCCTTTTTCATGCCTGGCACTGTCACCCGTGTTATTTGAGTCCATAATTCATTGCACACCAGTCTGCAGGAAGGCTCAGCATGGTACCACGATGACACAAAAGAACTATCTATAAGGACCTTTGCTGATTGCTGACGGCTGGCTCTGTTTTGAAACACCGAGCGGGCTTTTGGGACATTTCCAGATTAAGGAAATTGAGCCTCATCTTCAGACGACATGCATTTCACTGTAACTAGGATCAAGCATTCACTCCTGAAGGAAGTGCATGCTTGAGACAGTTGTGCCCCTTTTCTTCGAGGGGCCAAGTCAAAGAGCTGAGCGCCTCACTTCTTTGGGGCCTCGGTCTCCCACACAGCGGCAAGCTTAGACAGAATCTCACCTGTGGCTTTTACCAGCTCAGACATCCCAGGGCCTGTGGTTCTCAGACGGCATCTCTCTTGATGGGCAGCGCTCCGATGTGACCCCTGCCGCTCTCCTCAAGCTTGCCCATCTAGAGAACCAGAATCAGCCCCTCCTCCTTCCTCTGGCTGCCCCACGCGGGCAGGGCAGGAGCCAGGCCTCCGTTGGATCTGGCCCATTTGGCCAAGCTTCACCTAACCCAGCCAACGGAATGAAATAGCAGCCAGTGCATGGCTTTCCTGAGCAGTGCTCCTCTTGCAGGGGGGGGGAGGGAGGGTGCGGGTCCTGGAGCCAGTGCATGGCTTTCCTGAGCAGTGCTCCTCTTGCAGGGGGGGGAGGGAGGGTGCGGGTCCTGGAGCCAGTGCATGGCTTTCCTGAGCAGTGCTCCTCTTGCAGGGGGGGGGAGGGAGGGTGCGGGTCCTGGAGCCAGTGCATGGCTTTCCTGAGCAGTGCTCCTCTTGCAGGGGGAGGGGGAGGGAGGGAGGGTGCGGGTCCTGGAGCCAGTGCATGGCTTTCCTGAGCAGTGCTCCTCTTGCAGGGGGAGGGGGAGGGAGGGAGGGTGCGGGTCCTGGAGCCAGTGCATGGCTTTCCTGAGCAGTGCTCCTCTTGCAGGGGGAGGGAGGGAGGGTGCGGGTCCTGGAGCCAGTGCATGGCTTTCCTGAGCAGTGCTCCTCTTGCAGGGGGGGGAGGGAGGGTGCGGGTCCTGGAGCCAGTGCATGGCTTTCCTGAGCAGTGCTCCTCTTGCAGGGGGGGGAGGGAGGGTGCGGGTCCTGGAGCCAGTGCATGGCTTTCCTGAGCAGTGCTCCTCTTGCAGGGGGAGGGAGGGAGGGTGCGGGTCCTGGAGCCAGTTCTCAGACATAAACAGTCAATGCCCATTATTTGAGTAAGTTCTATAAGGTCCCTGCAAACACTGAATTAGGGACTCCTGACCGTCGCCGCTGGGCGATGTCAGGACGAGGCCTCTGCGTTCCTCAACACATTTTCATCTGCGGGTCAATACATAACCTGGCTTGCGTGTGCTTCTGTTTAAAGATATCTCATTTAACATATTGTTGATCCCCTCGCAGTGACCCCAGGGCCAACAGCTCCATCACTCACGCCCGAACAAAGGCACATCCTAGCCTTCCTGCCCTTAGGAACACGAGGACCACATGGGGGCCCTTTTCAAGTAGCAAAATCACCAAAATATTTCACAGAAATGTAAAAATCATGGCACATAACAGATCACAGAAAAAGACACTAGTTTACAGGCAGAGCATCCCCTTGCCCAGCCTCAGCTTGGAACATGCACTCCGAGTTTTCACTGCTCTGCACAGGTCTGCGGATGCCCACGGATGCCCACCGATGCCCGTGGACACCCTTGAGTATTGATTTGAGGTTGTAAGTCAATTTTAGTTAGGAGGCGAATTGCAAATATGGGACCCATGAACAATGAGTATTCCTCATACTTCCCGGGCCCTCGGGAGAGGGGGAAAAGTTCGGGGCAACCAGCCTTTGAAAGGGCCTAGTAGCTTCTCTGAGAGCAGCCAGGGAAGATGAGTTACGGGGCAGCTTCCTTCCCCAAGGGACCCAGGGCCTCGTGTGCATCCTGCTCTAATATCAACACTGTGTCCACTCACTGGGTGCTGCCAAGGGGCTCCCCTTGTAAAACTCCGCGTGCCCCCTCTCTCCCTCGAAGTTAAAGCCAGAGCCAGGACAGGCTTCACCCGCAGGCCCCACCCAGTCTCGGCCCCTTGCTTCTCCTGCCCCCTAGCAAGTCCTGCTCGTCTGCTTGCTGGTCTGCACGCACACTGAGCCTGCGCCTCCTTCGGGCCTTTGCACATGCTCTGCCTTCTGCTTGGCATGCTCTTCCCTGCAGGCAGGACTCCAGCTCACTCCTTTCTCTCTGCAGGGCTCAGTTGAAAGGCCAATTCCTCAGAGTGGCTTTTCCTTACCAACTTATCTCAGATGGCTTCCTCTTGTCCCCTCACGTGGCTTTGTGTTTCCAAGAAGCCCTTATCCCCAGCTGACACACCACATAGCCATTTGTTTCTCCATTGTTTGTCTCCCCGACTAGAATGTAAGCTTTGTCTGGTCCCTGCTGTGTCCCCAGGGCCTCGAACTGTGTACTCAATAAATTATTGTGCTGTATGAATAGATGTTGGCGACTCGGTTCCTTTTACCATGGCTACTCTCTGTGCAATTTAGTTATGGTGTTACTTCATAGAATGAGTGAAAAATAAGAATGTGCGATAAAAGGCAAGGGAGGGCAGAAACCAGATATGTGAATTTAAAAGTATCCAAGGGAAAAAGTATAGAGGCAATTTAATGGGTAAAGAGGAACAATTATTATTAACATTTTTATTAAGCTCTCCCACAGACCAGGCACTCTCCTGGAAACTGGAACCGTAGTTCACAAGGGAGAAGACTGGGACCAGAAAAGTTAAGTAACTTTCTCAAGGTCACACAGTCAGTACCACTCATGGATGAGATTTGAGCTCTATCAGCCTCCCAAGCCTACTGTGGGTTTTCCACCATACCACGTGGCCTCCATCATTCAATTTGAAACCTGATATAAAGGTTTTGAAAGCAAAAATATGCTTTTCTAAGAAATTACCTACTCCCCAACAATAAAAAATGCAGGTGTACAAGGTTCTTCATTGCAACACTGTTTCTATGTCAAAATATTGGAAATCGCTTGACTGTCCACTCACAGGAATAGTTTACAACTGTCTACAAGAATGTCTATGGGCTGATAGGAAATGCTTTTCAGGGTTTGTGGTCATGTGAAAAAAAAGCAAAGTGCAAAAGAGAATCTACAGTATGCTACCTTCTGTGCAGGACAGAAACGGGGATCAGAAAACATTCATGGATCTGCCTATTTTTGCAAAAGGAAACACAGGAAGCAAAAGCAGAAACGAATGAGACTTGGTTCCTATAGGAGGTGGGTGGCAATGGCAGGAGCAGCTGGGATCCTTCTCTGAGGGTCCTGTTTTACAGTAGATTGACTTTTGGTACTATATTAATGTTCCACATATTCAAAACCACACAAAACTTCGGATCTCTAGAATGGAATGCAGAATGAAACACGCAAACCCAGCTGTATTTCAAGTGGACAAAACAACCACACTCGGGCGGGAATAAGAACTAATCCACTGAACACACTCTTATATCATGTGTCCTCTGGCTAAAGACAGAAAGAGCTGCACTCGGAAGCATTTCTTTCCTCCAGTGGTACCAAAGAGTAACTCTGATGCTACTTTCTCTATCTTGATGCGATGAGGATAAAGAAAGTCAAATTTCTCAGTGTTGTAGAAGGAATTTACGTACATGGAAAAGGAGAAGATTAGAATTAATTCTGTGGTGTTGGACTGAAATTGTTAAATATAGATAGATACAAACAGAAAACGCAGATGTTGATATATGTATATGTGTGTGTCTCTCCATATCGTTGCATTTGTATACACAGGCGTGCATGTGTTTTGGAGGCCTACGAGCACCCCTGTAGCAGTGAGTGCACTCAGTACTCAGATCTTGGCTTCTAAAAACCATTCCCTCTGAAAGGAAGCAAGTCTCCTTGGGGAAAGAGCCATTTCCGAGGCTGCAGCAGGAAAGTACAAGACGAGCCCAGGCATCTCATTCCTTCCTTATAAGCAAGAAAGTGCTAAAATATGACGGAGATGTCACAAAGGACCGCTCGCGCCAGCCTGAAGAGGTGCCCACTGGCCAAATCTGGCACCGAAATAACTAACTAACTAACTAACTGTGCATCGAAATAACGATAATCACAGGATATTCACAGAATAAAGCAAACCCATGCTGACATAGATAGATAAACAAATGGGAGGGAAGAGCACTCTTCCTTGCAGAGGGACGTTGTACAAAGTAACTGGCCTGTCCTCTTCAAAGAAGTGAGAGTCATCAAAGACTGGAAAGGGCTGAGGAACTCTGATCCCAGGTCGAAGGAGACCAAAGCTATGTGGCAAGACAGCACAGTGGATCCTCCGCTCGACCCAGGAGTGGAAAAGAAAAGAAAGCTATGAAGGACACTACTGGAACAATGACCAGATTCGAATATGGATTGGGGTGAGATAACAGTATGTTTCAACACTGCATCTCCTGATTTTGACACAGGTACTACAGTTATGTGAGAGAAAGTCTTAGCCCTTCAGAAATGTACACTAAAGTATATATGAACTTTCTAAATAAAAATTCGAAAAGTACCTGGCCTTCTTCCGGAGTAACTTTTGAGACTCGGGATAATGCACCAGAATTTCATTCAGGTCCTTCTTATCCAGAATGAAGAGGTTGGTGAAGCCATGGGCCACCACGTTGGCCGTGCGCCGATTTCCGCCCCCTACCGCCAGCAGGCTGGGGAGAGGAAGGAGGGAGGTGAGGCCCTGCGGAGGCTTCAGTTCAATCACACTAAAGCCTTCATTTCCACCCCTGCAGAAGCACGGTGGCAGCCACACAGTGACAGCGTGTCAGCAGGTGCTGCGGCTGTGTCCCCAGTGGTTCCCTCAGACCCACCAAAGCCCTTGAGGGTGAGGTCCCACCCACTGCCCTTCCCCGGCCTCTGCCCACGCTCCCTCCCTTCACCTAGCTCCTCGCTGACCTTATTTCTCCAAATACAGATCCAGCTTTCAGAGTCACCAGCACAGACTTTCCATCAGGGCCACCCAAGACCTGCACCTGCCCTGCCTGGATGATGTACATCTCGCGGCCTATCTCCCCCTGAAACAGAGAAGGGGAAAGTCCCTCTGTAATCAGCAAAAGGGAACACAGGCCCTGGCTGGTGTGGCTCAGTTGGTTGGGTGTTGTCCTGTGCACCAGGAGGTTGTGCGGTGGTTGTGCGCACCGAATCCTATGTGCACACAAAGTGTGGCGCTGTGCCTGGCCCAGCGTAGCTGCTACCATCCTTGTGGGTGATGTAGAATTTGGTTCAGATTAGAACAAATGAATCGGGTTGGGAAGATTGCAGTTGGAAGGCAAAGTGAGTGGTTGGTGAGCGTGTGTGAATGGCGCCCTCTGCTGTCCAGTTTTGCTCTGCAACCATTTTACTGAGGCATCCCCAGGCCGCCCCAGGCCATCACAGGCCACCGTGCCTGGGCTGGTTATCGAGATGAGGATGAGCTCTTCAAACCCCTCACACTTCAGCACCACGTCAAGTTGGACACAGAAACAGGGAAACAGAACTTTCTTCCTTTTTGTCAAGAAGGTCATGCATGTGTGAAATACTCAGTGAATGTTCTTAAATGAATCAAACCTGTCCTTGGTCTTCCTCCCTTTAAACATGGCAGGTAAGCCCTGGCCGGTTTGGCTCAGCGGTTAGAGCGTCGGCCTGCGGTCCTGAGAGACCCGGGTTCGGTTCCCGCTAAGGGCGCGTACCTCGGTTGCAGTTTGTCCCCGGCCCTGGTCGGTTGTGCGGGTGGCAGCCACTCGATGTGTTCCTTTCACATTGATGTTTCTCTCTCTCTCTCTGTTCCTCTCTCTCCCTCCCACTCTACCTGAACAAAAAATGGAAAAATGTCCTCGGGTGAGGATAAAAATAAATAAATAAATAAATAAATAAATAAATAAATAAATAAATAAACATGGCAGGTAAGACCAATAGGCAGTGGACCAGGACAGAGGCTCGTGTGGCAGACTGGGATTTCTGATGGCGTCCAAAGCAAGCTGTTCGTTCGTTTGTTCATTCATTCATTCATTCATTCATTTGATTTAATTTGGGATTGAGGCCATTGTATTCATTCGCTACAGCTGCTGAAACAAAGCACCACAGACTGAGTGGCTTATAAAACAGAAATATATGTCTCACAGTTTTGGAGGCTAGACGCTCAAGATCAGGTGTCAGTAGGGTGGGATCTTTCTGAGGACAGTGAGGGAAGGCTTGTCTCCTTGGCTTGCAGGTGGTTATTTTCTCCCTGTGTCTGTCACATTGACCATGAGGGAGGTGCTCTCAGCAGCCCTACTTTACCCATGAGAAGAGAGAAGCTCAGAGAGGGCAAGCCACTTCCCCAAGGGCGCACAGCTAGGAAGCAGCTTCAGTGCCAGACAAATGCGCCCAAACCCCTCTTGGGCTCTAAGGCTGCAGCTTTAAATTCTCAGCCATATATAACACACTTCCCCCTTTTCCTCGCAGGTCTCATTTCCAGAAACTTCTCTGAAGCATACAACTTGAAAAGCGGGGCCTTCTTGGACTAGGGGTTTCTGCGTCTTAGAGGGGTTGCTTGGGCAATGCTTTTAGCCCCGTAGACACACCGGCCTTGTGAGCAGCTCTGTAACAAGAGGCCTGAAATCTGGTTCTGCTCCCTCATCGCTGACCACTCACTCGCCAGGCGACCTTGAATCCCAGAGAGTAGGAGCAGAAGGGCCCTAGACACTGTCTAGACCCAGGATGCAAACCCAGACGTTTTCCTGGATCGGGTGGGTAATGGAGCGGAACGAAGGCAGCCTGGTGTGGGGCCGTGGGAGGGGGGGGCCCGAGGCATCAGGACAGAGGACGAGGATGCCCTTGAGGGCAGCCCTCTCCCCTCCAGCGGACTCTTGCTATTGGGGAAAGTGGGGCTCAGTGGGGCTATGAGATGTTCTGTTTGCAGCCAGAAATCTGATGTTTATGTAAAACCTTCCCTTTTAAAGGTTCGGGGCTAATTCAACTTTATTTTCTTTCCTTCTTTAAGATGAGGAGAAACCAGGAAACATCTATGCAAGGCCATCAGTTTGCGGCCTGGCCCTGCCCCACCGCTCTGGTCTAGCAGGACCAGACCCTGGTAACAGTTCCGTCTACACAGTTAAGGCCCTGCCCCTCCTGAGGCTGCTCGCTTCCCATTTCTGGAAAGTAGCCTTCCCCATCCTGACCCCCGTGGTCCCGTGTCCAGGGAGCAAAGTCCGAGACATATGAGTTCTGCTCCTAGAGCTGGGCAAAGCCTCCGGTGCCAAGCAGCCTGGAGCCCTGTGGCCAGCTGACCAGTGCCTGGGGCTTCGGCCACTCTTCTCTGTCCCCGCCAATCCTGCCCTCCCTGTGCCCCCAAACCTTACTGGCACCCCTCCAGCCCCGCTCTTGACAGCCAGGGGGCAGTCAGCCCCAGCCGGCACTGTGGCCGCCTCAGGCCCCTCACCTTCTTGCACACGTAGTCGTTGGGCAGGTAGACGACAGAGCGAAGCCGCTTCAGCATGTCAAAGATCATCTGCCGGTCGCAGCCCTGTCCCGGAGAGGAGCCGAAAGGGGCCCCATTCAGAGGAAGGTGTGGGCTCGGGGCCTCCCGGAGCCCTGAGGGTAGGCCATTGGGTGGGCCATACCTGGAAGAGGGCCACTTTGCTGACGATGTCGTAGTTCACGTCGATGGCGAGGTCCAGCCGCATCTTGTCGGGAAGCTGCACCATCAGCTCTGACTCATCTGCAAAGGAGACCCTGGCGACAGTGAGAGGCACCACCAGGCTCCTCCCCAACACAAGGGCTCAGTCTGCACTGCACTGGCCGGGCCACACCATTCCTCTGCCACCAGCACCGCTGCAGATGGGACGGGGCCCTCTCTCGCCTTCGCAGATGCCACTCTCTTATGTGCACTTTCCTGGTCAACTCCTACTCATTCTTCAGAAGTCAGCACCAATGTTTCCTCCTCCAGGAAGCCTTCCCTCGAGACCCCCAGCTACAATGTTAGCTGTGCTGGTGCATAGCACTGATCACACCTTTCATGCCATTGCTTGTTCATGATCTGTCTCCCTCCCCTCTGTCACATTAGTGAGAACTAAAGTACTTCGAGCACTGTTTTCACAGAATGCTTTATAAAGGTGATTTTATTAATTCCTCCCAGCAGCCCAGGAGGTGCCCACTACTATTATCTCCACTTTACAGACAAGAAAGGGGAGCTTGGGAAAGCAGTGACTTTTCCACTGCCACGCAGCCCAGGGGGATGGACTCAGGACCCCACCCAGGATGTAGAACTCCAGAGCCCACCCAGGACCGGAAGGCCAGATCTGTTTTGCCCACCATGTGGTGCCCAGAGAGAGCCTGGCATGAAATGAATGTTGGACCTGTCCCAGTCCCCAATGCCCTGCCCACTGCACCACAATTATTTATGGGCTTGAGGTCTGAGTGAGCCTGGGCAGGTCAGGGCCCTCTCTGGTCCTTAGTGTGCACCCCTGTGAAAGGGGAGAACAATACAGATGTCAGAAAGCTGTCACTGGAACAGAATGCGGTAATGGAGGTGAGCTTGCCTTGTAAACTGTGGAGTCGATGTACTAGTAACGGATAGTGACGAAGATCCTAACACTCATTGTCCACAGCCTTGGACTGAGGCGTGGCTTTAGACCAGAGGGAACCCCACGAAGGCAATGAGGCCCTTTTATTTTGCTGGGGGAGTTGGGCTTTATGGGCTTTTCAGAAGCCTCCAAAATGACATCCCCTGAGAACAAAAAGACTAGCTTCCAAAGATTAAAAAACCTGGAAAAATTTAACATATAGTCCATCCAGTGTGGCTCAGTGGTTGAGCATGGTCCTATGTACCAAGAGGTTGCTGGTTCAATTTCCGGTCAGGGCACATGCCCAGGTTGTGAGCTTGATCCCCCGAGGGGGGGCATGCAGAAGGCAGCCAATCAATGTTCTCTCATAGATAGTTCTATCTCTCTCTCTCTAAAAATCAATAAAAATATATATTTTAAAATTTAACATATAATTAGCATATTCAGATTTTATTAATGGTTCCCTTTATTTTTTTATTTTTTATTTTTTTTGGTATATGCCCCTAGCGGGAATCGAACCCGGGATTCTCTGGTCCGCAGGCCGACACTCCAACCACTGAGCCAAACTGGCCAGGGCTTAATGGTTCCCTTTAGAATTTGAAAATTTCATTACATCTGGAAATATTTTTCAGGTAAGATTCTCCCACTTTGTAAGAATTACTGAGCACACCCCATCATGGACAAGAAAGCAGAAACAACAGTGAATTAAAAGAATTGTAGCCAAATAATGTCAGAAGCAAAATATAATCAACAAATTTACAAAGAAATGTATATATATGTATGTATAATATATATATTATGTATATATGTATGTATTATATATATTATGTATATGTGTGTGTGTGTGTGTGTGTGTGTGTGTGTGTATCTGGAGGGGTAGTACTTCCTTTTCTCCTGACTCAGTTGCACTTCCACGTCCAATGGGCACCCATTGTGAGGTGGGTGGAGTGAGGTGGGAGGGGCCTCCAGAAGACAAGCCCCTCAGTCTCCAAGGTCTTCTAACGGCCCAGCTCAGGGCACCTCACAGGCCTGCTAGGCCCCTCTCACTTAATGGAGGGACACAGCCAAGAGAGGCCCCAGGGCTCCGGCCTCGGGACACAGGACCAGGGCAGGGCCCAGGAGGGCAGGGCTCCAGCAGCAGGAGTCTTACCCAGCATGCCTTGGGAGTGCCAGGTGTACTCATACCAGGTCTTGACGCGGTTCTGCACGGACCTGGGGATCCTGTAGAAGTTCATGTACTTCACTGTGCTGTCCATGCAGCTGCGGTAGTAGGTCTGCCCCGCCGTGGCGGCCCCCACCACGTCTCTCATCTGGGGCAAGGGAGGGAACAAGGCAGCCACAGTGGGCTCATGGCATGGGCTTTGGGGACATGTGTCATGGGCACATTTACTTCACACAGACCAGGGGCGCAATGGGGGAGATCAGAGAGAGGGAGACCCAGTTCACACACACAGAAGACTGTGCAGACAGGGGGGGGGGTGCGTAGGGCAAGGCTGCTGGCCCCTTGGGCAGCCTCAGGTCCCTGAGGCCACACGAGGGAACGCGTCATTGGGCAGATTCTTGTACAACACAGCCACTTGGTGCCAGAGGCCACTTTGAGCCCGGCTGCAGGAAATATGCCCTCTGCACTGCCCCTCAGAGCGGGGCCCCTCAAAGGGGACTCTGAGCATCGCTGATTGCCATCTCCTGCCCTGATTAGAATGTGAGCTGTGCCCCCCGCACATCAGAAGCCCCCAGCCTTGGCAGAAAGCCGTTCAGCGCGGCTCCCCGCGATATCCCAAAGGAAGAGCCACGTCAGATGGAAGCTGCCTCGCAGAGGGAATGGGCCCAGCGCTCCAGGCTCCTGATTCTGAGTCCAGAGCTCCTTCCCAGGCTTAGTCTAAAGGCACGGGCACAGATGGGCACCCTTCTGTCGGCAGGGGGGGAGAGGCCCTGCAGGCAGGTGGGTGGGAAGCCAGACAAGTGACCCAGCTACCTGTCCGATCATGACAGAGAAAGCGAAGACGCCTGTGAAATAGTTCAGCAGCTGGAAGACGATTTCGAACAGCGTCTTGGGGTCGGGCAGCCCGCCAATGGTGATGAGGGTCTTCACAGCCCAGTAGTAACAGCGGATGTAACTAGAGAGAGCAGGGGAAGGGAGCTGAGTCCTCACAGGCCCCTCTGCGGACCCTGTGGCCCGCTCTGGCAGGTGTGCACTGTGAAGAAAGGAAACTTCGAGGCTTAGAAGTGTGGGGTGACAGCCTCTCCCCGCAGAGCTCTGCAGTCCCACCGCGTGCTCACAGGTGCTAGCTGGTAGCTGCGGCTCTGCCCCAACCCTGCAGAGACGTGGTCACCCCCATCTACAGACGTGGAAACTGAGGCTCCAGGAGATTGTCAGGAAGAGTTGGCAGGGGGACAGACCCGGACCTTCTGACTCCTGATGCCTGGGCTCCCTCCACTTCCCTCAATAGTCTGTCCATTTCCATCTTTCTTCTGTATGTCATCCCGTTGGTTCATGGAAAGCAAGAGCCCCTTCAGAGTCGGAATACGTCGAGGACCACCTTTCCTGACCCTCTCCCTTGCCCACCCATTTTCTGGAAAGTAAAACTGAGGCCCCAAAAGGGAAAGGGAACACTCATGGTCACCAGCTCTCAAGTTCCAGAGCTGGGATTAGAACCCAGGGTGTCATCTGCTTCTCCGAGCTTTCACCCCATCATCAGTAACCCCATGACACACACACATGAACCACTGGGAGGGAGGTATGGGTGATGGGTCCTTCTTGTGATAGAAGGCCCAGGCAATGCCCCAAACTTGTCTTATTATCACAAAGCAGTAAGAGTCCCTCCTACGCCTGTCCACACCTGCTGGCCGTGCCCTCCCAGGGGTCAAGGGGCAATCTTGCCAGCTTTTCTGTCCTCCTACCAGGGCACATGGGAGCTGTCCAGAGCCTGCCCCAGCTCCAGTGTCATGATACACCCACGCTTCCAGGGTCCCTGCTCAGCTTCAAAATCTAGAACATCACCCAGCTAGCAAGTCATCTTGTCTGAGAATGACCCCAAACCGGTCCTCCCCAGGGTGCCATTCACCAGCTTTTTATGCAGCGTCACAGTCAGAACAGGGGCTCTGGAGAAGGACCACATGGCGCAAACCCAGCTCTGCCCCCTTCTAGCTGCATGATCTGTACAAAGGACTCAATGTCACCAAGCCTCAGCTTCCTTCCGCTAAGTGGGCATGGCAGTAGAAAACGTCCTTCACAGGTGATGGTGAGGAAAGAAGGAGGTGCTGAAGAACCTCTGGCCCAGGGTGGGCTCTCAGTAAGCGTCAGCCGTGAGCCTGCACTGTGGCTGCTACCTGCCATGTGCCTGCGGTGGGAACAATAGATTCTTTGTGTTCTCAGGAAGCTCACCGTCTTGTGGGGACAGGCAAGCAAACATGTAAAGAGGGGAGAAGCAGAGGCTGTTGGGAATCAGAGGGGAAGGTCTCTGTCTCTGACTAGCTGCTAGGCCTGGGGCAGGGCTTTGGGCTGCCCTGCACCTCATTACCAGCTGGTGCGTGGCCATCTCAGGACAGCACAGGCCTGCTCTAAGTCCCCTATCATACCATTCATGGCCACCAGAGGGTGCATGAAACAGCCTTTAGCACAGCGTTTCTCAACCTGTGGGTCACGGCCCCTTTGGGGGTCGAACAACCCTTTCAAAGGGGTTGCTTAAGACCATCGGAAAACACATATTTCTGATGGTCTTAGGAACCGAGACCCCGCTCCTCTGTCCGTCCGTCTCCAGGCGGGTCTGCCCACGTGCAGATACGCCACAGGAACTGTGTTAAAGGGTCAGGCATTAGGAAGGCGGAGAACCACTGCTTTAGCAGGACTAGGCGGGGATGCTGCAGCGAGCAGCTGGGCCATCAGGAAGGAAACAGGAGTGAGATCCACGAACCTCAGGCTTCCCTCAAATCCTTCCCGGTTGGAGGAATCTCCCACTGGCCCAGCACATCTTAGGGGCCTCCCATGTCACTGGGTCTGTGGGGACTCCTGCATGCCCCAGGCTGGGCAGAACAGGGTGAAGGACCCAGATATGTAGGAACTTGGGTCCTCAAGCCCCAGCCCACAGCAGGCATCAGCAAATGGTCATTGTTTTGGGAACTGTTATTATCCGTGGTGTTGGACTTCTAGGGGAATCCTCCTTCACTGCTTGAGCTTTGAGCATATGCTAGTGTTCCCTGTGGGATTTCATTTGGAAAACAGTAGTGTTGCCAAGAAAGGTGCCCCTCCACTGCCGGGCACCGAGAGCTCCCGAGGCCCCGCAGCAGGAATTCCCAGACAGGATGCGGTCCCGTTCCGGCCTCCCTGCTGGCTACCCTCCCGAGGCCTGCACGTGAAGGGTGTGCTAGGCCCAGCCCCAGGACGGGGTTCCTAGCTTGTGGGGGTACAGACTCCCAGGAGAATCTTAGGAAAGCCAGAAACTTCTCCTTAGAAAGACTAGCATGTCCCACACGTCTCAGTTGCACTTGCATTTCGAGTGCTTGGCAGCCCATGCGGCTAGTGGCTACACTATTGGACAGCAAAAGCCTAAAAGGTGAGGGTGGCACTGCTCAGGTGGGGGGCTGCTTGGCAAGCTGGCCCCACCTACCTTCCCAGGTAATTCCATACACACCCCTCCGGCAACACGGGACTGCACCCAGCTCCCCGACTCCATGGTTCTGCGACCCTGCCCCTTTCTTCGTGTTGCCCCCTCCTGCAAGGCTGCTCTGCCCCTTCTCTCCACCTACCAGGCCAGGACCAAACTTAACCTTTCAGAGTTGACTGTCCCGTGCCACGTCTACAGCACCGGGCAGACGGTGCAACATTCATGACTCTGTGGCCACACTGCCTCGTTCAAATCCCAGCTCTCTTAACTTAGGAACTGTGTGACCTGGGAAGTCACTGCACATCTCTTACCTCATCTGTAAAGTGGGGTGATGATAGCTCTCCTGCGTGATTGCTGGGAGGGTTAAGTGAGTGATGATGTTAAGTGCTTGGAACAGGGCTGGTACATTGTAACCTTTCTCCAGTGCTGCTGCTGCTATCATTATTATTATTATTATTATTATTATTATTATCATCATCATCATTATCATCGCCATCGCCATCACCATCACCACATCATTTGAGCATGTCGCACTGTGCATGCAACTCTCTAGATGGGCACATGGGTTTCACCTTATTGGCCAGATCCTGCACCGCCAGTGATGCCTGGGATCTGTGCTGAGGTTGCCTGGCCCATTCCCTCTCAGCAGGGCCCTTAGGATGGATTCACCACACATGTGCGGTGAATCTGCCAACTCTCCTGGACTCTGGGGTGCTGAAAATGTGTTTCCAGCAGGTCTTGTTCATGTCTGTGCCCGCTCTGCCTGGCATGCAGCGGGCACTCAGGAAATGTTAACTTAGTGAGGATTTGGAGACGTGGCCCTTAGCATGTCGAAGGTTCCTTGGGGATCCCAAGGCCTCGCTCACATGCGGCAATGGGACTTCTTTGCGCGAGTCCTCAGCATGAGGTATGGCCCCAGGAGGACGGCTGTGGCTCACCTGTTTCCCACGCCATCGTAAACCCAGTGAGTGGAGCCAATGCCCTGATAGGCTGACGCCCAGTAATACAGACAGGAGTTTAAGTGTAAACTGTAGAGCAAGTAGGCGGTGGTCCTGATAACCCTACGAAAGAAAGACAGGCATGAACACAGCAGCAGAAAGAGTGGCCATGATGTCTCACCCAGGGGCAGGGACCCAGGAAGCAAGCCAGTCCTCACCTCTCCTGACACCCACCCCACAGATGCCCTTGTTGGAGCTGCATGGTCTTGCCCAGCTGCCTGGCAGAGTGGGCACTGGCCAATGGGAACAGCACTGGCTGGACTGAGCCAACCTGATGCTCTTTTGAGACTGCGCATAAGAATGGTGGAGCGTGAACAGCATTGGCAAGACCAGGGCTGGAACTGGCACAGATCAACTTGTGCACATAGTCCTGGGGCAGCGTGTCTGTGAGGAGGGGCAGAGAAGGGACAGGTGTGTGCAGAAGTGCCAATCCACGAGAGGTGGAGTGGAGCCTTGTCCCCAAGCATGGCCTGGCTCGTCTCGTGCTCCATCCTGGAACATCCACCAGATGGCCTACTGTGCCCTTGCAGGTGGTCCCCCATGTTTGAGGGGTTGGGGCAGGGGTCAGTTCCCTGAACTGAGACCAAAATGAGGCTCAGCTCCCTGGAAATGCAGGTTGAGCAATGCACACTGACCTTCTTACAATTGGGGGAAATGGGATGTTCCTGGTTCTTTAAAAAACAAATATCCCTCCGAAAGGGTCAGGAAGAGGCCCAGTTCCGGTGGTGGTGAGGCCTGCAGGGCCCCGGTGAAGTGATGTGGGTGGAGAACACTTGTGCATGGAAGCATGTGCGTGCATGTGTGTGCATGTGTGTCTGTGTGCGCGTACATGTGTATCTGCATGCGAGTGTGTGTGTGTGCCTGTGTGTGTGTGGTCTCACCTGTAAATGTAGGCTTTGCTGAGGATGGATTCCAGGCGGTTGTTAAACTCAAAGAAGGCCATGTACTGGGAGAGAGAGCAAGGTATCAGGGCAGCCCCTGTCCGTGGGGTGACACCCTGCCCTCACCCCTTAGCCCATTCCCCACAGGTGCCAGGACTAGGTTCTTCCTGAAACTCCTGGCAGGAGGGGGATGGAGAACATTCAAAATCAGAGGTCTTTGCCCTCAGAGGGGTCAGGGCCAGAAACTCCAGTTACTAAACCGATGAAAACTATGGCACCTCTTCCTTCGGAAATTACATGTAATTATGTCCTTACAGGTCGCATAGAATTTCAGGGTCTCCTAGACCTTCTGAATCAGATCATGAAACTTTGAGGGGTACATGCATCCCAGGTTTAGGACACTGCTTTCAATGTTCTCTTAGAAAGAAAACGATTCCATAAAGAACAGCATCCCTAACACCCCGCACTTATACACTCAAGGCTTATTTATAATAATAAAAGCGATTATGACAACTGCTCCTCTGTACTGAGCACCTTTGATGACTGCACATTACAGGGAATGATGTGAGGGTTGGGGCACTGACCCCTGTGTGGTCAAAAATTCATGTATGAGTTTTGATTCCCCAAAAACTTAACTACTAATAGCCTACTTTGATCAGAAGCCTTAGTAAGAATATAAACAATTAACACATATTTTGTATGTTATAGTATTATACACCGTATTTCTACAATAAGCTAGAGAGAAATACGTTATTAAGAAAATCATAAGGAAGAGAAAATACATTGACAGTAATATATGCACTTATTGAAAAAATCCACGCATAAGTGGACCCACGCAGTTCAAACCCGTGTTGTTCAGAGTCAGCTATACAGATATGCACACTTAGTACCTGTTTTGCATGTGCAGTATGGAAGCCATTCTCCTTTTACAGAGAGGAAATTGGCACTCGAGGAAGTTCAGTAATTTGCCCAAAGCACACATACGGTAAGTGACAGAGCCAGGCCTCGAACCCAGATTGGACGCACACTGCAAGATCTTTCCACTAGGCCACACTGCCTCTCCTCGGGGCACACCCCTCACTGCCCCCTCCTGCCCCCTAGTGCTGCTCAGGGCAGACATCACGATGCCAGAGCCAGCGCAGATGAAGGCTTTGGATGGGGAAGCCACTGGTCTTACCTTCAGGCAGCGGGGCAAACGCAGGAGGGGATTCACGCCGAATTTCAAGTAGAGAAAGTCCAAGGGCAGCAGGCAGAGCAAGTCCATCTGAAACCCCAGCGGGACAGTGCAGTGCATGCAATGGGAGAGCCAGGGCTGTGGGGTGGGGTACGTGATGGGGCCTCTACCTCCAGTGCACAGGTGAGCCCAGGGTTCCCCAGGAGGGCCTAAAAGCAGAGCAGAAGGCCTCCCAACCAGCCTCTGACTGCCCAGCCTGTGCCAGCCTGGGGAACCATGTGACGCTATCCCCCAAAGCACCCAGGGCCCCCTGAGATACCAGCTTCCGAGGCCCCAAGGACACACGCATCCCTGGCACACACCTTAAAGCGGGGAGACTTCAGGTAGTTATTGCGCATCTCCTTTTTGTCTGTCTAGAAGAAAATGGAATAATGCCCATGAAATGGCCTGAGAGGTTAATCCCTGACCCTAATCAATAAAGACCCTCCACCTTCCTATCGAACTCTAGCCCCCTGGACAAGCAGGAGCCGGAGTGGAGCAGCTGAGCTCAGGTGACCACCTCCAGGCATACAGGTGGGGAGGTGGAGCTTTCCAAGGGCACCCAGCTGGATTCTGCCTTCTAGGGTGGAAGGCAAGGCTATGGAGCCTGTTTTCTCAGCACGTTGGTCTTACCTGGGCCATTTGCAACCTTACTGACTGAGGAGCTGGCGGGGGTTCTGATCAGACCAGGAAAAAGCTTGTCCGGGAAATGTGTTTTTTTTTTTGTTTTAGAAGCACAATCTCAACTTGTCTGCACACCAGGAAGCAGTTGCTACCAGTGTGGAATTTTGAAGAGTGACATGCACAGGGACATGGGGACCCTGCCTCCTGCTTCTGTCAAGTCACAATCAGGATCGCAGTCCCGCCCCGGCAAGTGGGGCCTGCACCACCAGGGCACAGTCTCAAACTGCTCCAAGTAGTGTGCTCTTTGCAGGACCTAGCAGTTACCTGTGCTGGGCACTGTGCATCCAACACCTGGTCAATCCTCACAGCAATGGGGAACAATGACTACCCCACTTCACAGGGAGGAAACTGAGGCCCAGAGAGGTGAGGCAGCTGGTTGTGGTGGAGCCGGGATTTGAACCAGCTCCACCTGCACTAAAGGCTCTTCTCTGGACCACTTCTCCATCTCAAACTCCATCAGGTGGTCCAGGAAGCGTTTCACCATGAGCAATACATGACGTGTGTAATTTGAATATATGAAAGGTGTGCAACATAAGCTACCATGTAGTTGAACAAGCGGGGCCGACGTTCCCGAGATCCCCTTGTTCGTTTATCTTGTCTGTGGAAGCACCGGGGTCGGACCCCGGAAGGCGTGGCTGCAGAGTCTGCCCCCAGCCGCCCGCTCCACCGCCTGTGACTCACAATGATGTCCCCTCCTTTGACAAACTGCAGACGTATCTGGAACACGGTGATGTCCAGGATGTAGATCAGGTCGCACAGGTAATCCAGCAGCAGCCAGAAGTGGACGTTGCCTGGCGTCTGGTAGGGGAAGGCCCAGCGCACAGGGATCAGCCAGCAGTTCCAGTTCCAGGCCATCACCACGAAGAACAGCCACAGGATGTACATCAGGTCTGCGGGGGAGGCAGGGCAGGAACATGCCAGGGGCAGGAACATGCGGGGGAAGGGCTCCTCCAGGGTGGGGGTAGGGGGCTTTCTTTTTTCCACTTTTCTATCAGCACTACATAGGTGTGACACAGCTGTAACTTGGATGGGGTAAAATTATATTTAAATTTAAAATAAATTGCTGCTGGGCCCTAATCAATCAAGTACTCTGAGGAGGGGACACGGGGCATTACTGGATGATAGACAGCAAACTAGAAAACACTTTTGCTTTCATTCTTGAAAGTTTTACAAAAATCTAGTTCCTGCCTTAGTAAATATAGAAGATGGACAGATGGATACACAGACATGGCGACATGGGTGGGTGGATGGATGGATATCATAAGTCACCTGGTTATTTTATTTATTTATTTATTTTTTACCCTCACCTGAGGACATTTTTGCATTTATTTTCAGATAGAGAGGGAGGAAGAGAGAGAGAAACATTGATGAGAGAGAGATACATCGGCTGGTTGCCACCCACACAACCCCAGTTGGGGCTGCGGACGACCAAAACCGAGGTACGTGCCTTTAGTGGGAACCGAACCCAGGACTCTCTCCGCAGATCGATGCTCTGATCGCTGAGCCAAACTGGCCAGGGCTCACCCAGCTATCTTAGAGGCCCAGTGGACACCAGGGTCCCCCCAAATGACTGTTTGTGTGCCCTTGGCAAAGTCCCCCTGTGGCACCCGCCCTGCCCTCATCACAAGGGAAGGTCGGATAAGACAGGCAGGGAGACTCTGTAACCTGTGCAGAGCTGTGCACATATGAAGGGCTGTTATTCCTGAGGAATAGAAAATGGGCTAAGTGGGAAGTAAGGGGAATTCTCTTTGATGTGGAAGAACGGCCCTTTTCTGCTCAGAGCAGCACCCCCAGGAAGGAGCCAGCAAGAGCAGAGTACAAAGACTTGGCCAGGGGTCAGGGGTCAGGAGTCCCGTCTGCCACTAAGTAGCTGTGTGTTTAGGCCGGATAACTTCTCTGTGCTTAGTTTCCTTGTCTGGAAGATGGGTGTAATTGTGTGTTCCTATTCCAGGGATATTTTTGTGTGTTTTGGGGTCACAAACCATGGATGTCCATGGCCTCCTACTCACCTCTGGCACAGCCCCTCCATCCCTCCCACTCTCCTGTCCTCTCATGTTACGTGGCAGCAATGCCCACGGCCCACCCAGGACTCACTGGTCAGCGGGTCGATGCTCTGGGGGAACTCCCACTTCCTCCAGGGGCGGCGTTTGAACTTGCAGCACAGCATGTCACAGTAGTGCTCCTCCGCCACCTGTACCGCCTCAGCTGGCTTCGTGTCTGGGGCTGGCTCTGGGGCTTTCTTGGCTGGAGCTAAGAGATGACACTGGTGACCACCTGACCCAGCCCACAGGCTCAGGTAGAAGATGCAGAGAGAAAGCTCCCAACTTTAGACCTGGAACTGGAGCTGAGGGGACCCTGGCACGTCCCACAACCTGCTATAAGCTCTGTGTGCAGACACCAGGGTGCTCTCCTGGAGCAAACCCCCAGCTCCCTCATTCACAGTGACCTGGCTGTCTATCCAGAAACTCTTACAGCCACCAAGCTGAAACGCCCCAAAGGAGGGGTTTCTGGGCAAGCTGGATATGTTAGTTGAGTTCTGCCCGTGTGTCTGTTTGGACCCTTTGCTCCCTTTGCAGGGCTGGGAGCACCTCATACCCAGGGCTCCCACCACCCAGGGTCGGAAATCAGGGCAATGTTGCTCTAGGTTTCTCAGAGCAGGACTCTCAGCTCTTTCACCCCTAAAACGAGACTCCCAGTGGGATCCCAGGCTTCCTGTGCAGCCAAGGTGATGCTGGAGGACCAGAGGCTGACTCATAGCTCTAGAGATTCTAGCTATGTCTCCAGCTCTAGGCTTGTGAAGTCCGGCTCCGCTAGGTTTATTGGTGGCACCATGAGTTCTAAGGCACGGTCCTCCTTTGGAAAGACCCAGAAACCTCTCCCCACCCCCTGACAACAGAGCACTTTCCTTATTTCCTCCTGGCATCTTGAAAGCAGAAAACTCTCAGGTAGCCCCATAAGAATATTGCAACTGAGGCATCTGAAAAACAAGACTGTCTAGTTCCCTAGTGGGTTATGGTCACCATCTGAGTGTAAGACCATGAGATACGTCCCAGGGTGAACCCCCTGGGAAAAAGGCGGAGGGGTCAATGAGGGTACTTGCCCTGCTGGACAGGGAGCCAAGTACAACTAGATCATTGGTCAGAACTTTGACCTTCTACCCTCCCCTGGGTATATAGCTACCTGTACATACAGGACCCCAAAATCCAGGCAGTGGGGGTCTGGGCTTCTCTCAAACACTCTAACCATTTGGGGAGGCCATCCTCATCATGAGTTGACAGGGGGTTTTAGAGCCCCCCCACCTCTGGCCTGGCAGACCATCCCCAGCTTTGGACTCACAGGGCTTGGGGCTCTCCTCATCGGAGGTGACATCTGGGTCAATGAGCTTCTCCTTCACCTTCTCCGTCCGCTCCTTGAAGAGCTTCACTAGCTCCTGGAGCCGCTCGTTTATGATGGTGCTGTTCTGGCTGGCTGTTGAGGACGCGCGGTCCTGGCCACTGTGGAAGTGCCACCCAAGCTGAGCCGGCTGAGTGGGAAGGGACCCCTGTGCCCTGGGCGAGCTGCATCCCGCCTGGCCTGATGGAGCCGAACCCCGCCCCGGCTTCCCGTGACATCAGAAACCCCAAACCCACTCTACTATCTCCTAGAAGGAAATTCAGCCTGGAACAACACCTGGGGCCCAGCTTTCAGAACTGTACCACGCAGGCTCTAATTTAGATAGGCAGTTTGGAAAAAACTTTGATCCATTTGTGATTTAGGGGGAGACTCAGTTCAGGGCTATTAGTCCCAGTATGGGGTTCACATGAGACGTGTCTGGGACAGATCAGAGGGGAGACAGGGCTAGTTATTTAGGCTTCAGAAATAGCTGGTGGGGGAAAAACTGTGCAGATACATTATATATCCTTTTAATTTACAGGAATTTAAACTAAGAACATGCAGCAAGAGAAAGAGACAATGAATCAATGAATGAATGAACGAATAACAGTCTGCCTGACATTCCACTCAGTGTGTGAGTGCCCTGGGTGAGTTGACACAGGTGTATAAATCAGCTCTCCTCTGAATGACCTCACTGTGTTCACTCGCTGAGCTGTGTGTAATACTGGTGTTTTCAGATCTGTGTTTTTGTTTGTTTGTTTCATACATTGAGGCACCAAACTTGAGCCAGCCACTTCTCTTGTGTTCAATTGAGGAAGCCAGACTGGCAACCACCAGTGTGAGGTCCTCCTGAGAGATGCAGCACTGGTGTGGCGGATACTCCAGCTGCCCACCCATGTTCATTTTTTCCAGTGGGGAGTGGTTGCTGGGACGTAGACACCCAGCCAGTGATTGCATTCCTCAGGTGTGGCCATGTGAGCTCTCACTTCAAGTCTCCTTGTCAGAGAACAGCCTGGCGCTTTCCCTTTCTAGTGGTGACCAGCTGCATCGTGGGAGCCACACGAAGGTGGCAGAGCCACTGTCAGCGGGGTCCCTAAATGACTGCGTGGAGCAGAGTCTTCCACTAACCTGAAACAGGCAGTTAATGACATGACTATGACACATGAGACCTCTTGTTCCTTAAGCCACCAAATCTTTAGGGACTATTTGTTACAGCAGCTTAGCTTACCTGGCTAATACATGGTAAGCTTCTAAAAAGTTTTTTTCTACCTCATTACGAGTTTTCAAGGGTAATTTTTATTATTATGCCTTATTTCTACCTTATTTTCTGATACTAATCCCTGAACTTGTCCCCACTCTATTGCTTAATATGTAACTCCACTGTTTGCTCAAATGGACTACTGGACTATGGGTGAGGTTGGGGTTATTTTCCCTGCTTCTCTAACTTTTCTGAACTTTCCACAACTCTGTTAAACATAAACTCCAAAAATTATAAATAGGTATAAAAAGAAAATGAAAATGAAACAAAAGCTGGTATCGGAGATTCCAAAATGGCGGCGGAGTGAATGGAAACAGCACAGACCATCTCCCAGGACCAAACTGGAATTGCAACTAAAATAAAGACAAATCATTAGGGAAAACCAATAGAAAAGCAGCTGGAGAGGACCCACATAACCAGGGACAGGGAAAGGACACTGAATTGAGCCTGGTAGGAACAGCGGAGGCACGAGAGGGCAGGCTGGGAGCCCACGGACAGCAGCTATTTTAGCTGTGAGCAGCTCCTTTGGGGTTAAAATCCCAAGCTGGCTCCACAGCACGGAGGGCTGGGACAGAGCACTAAATTACTACATCCACTCACTTGGGCTCTGGCAGTGGGAGAGCAGATTGGACTGAAGCTATGTGGAGAAACTTGGAATTTGGAGGGCACTGGGAGTTTTGTGCTGAATCACTCCCTCATAGGACAGTAGCCATCTTACTCAAAGAGTCCCAGAGACCTCAGGAGAAGCTACAGCCCCTCCCTCAGGAATTTAACACCACCCAGCCAGGCCAGAGAAATGCAAATCAAGGCTCATTAACAGCCAGCAAGCATCTGCCCCACCCACTGGAAATCCTCTTACCCTGAACACCTGAGGAATTTTTTTTTCATTCAGCTGAGGGCTACAACCCAAGGCTCACCACGTAACTGAGACTAATAGCCTCCAGGCAATAAAGCTAGAGGATAACTGAACCATTCCTGGGCTTGCAAATCTACCCAGGAATGTAAGACTTGACAGTGGTGTTTAACGTAGGTCCTCCCACACTCATCCATACCCAGTAGAAGGAGCCACAACCAATGGAACACTAGCACCCACAGGGAAAATTAGGCAGGCTTCAAAACCCACTGAGACAGCCAAAATGGTAAAACAAAGAAACAAATCCAAAATGCAAGAACAAGATAATTTGACAGAAGATTAAATAAATGAAAGGGAATTGACCAAGATATCAGAGGGAAAGTTCAGAGTAATTATCATGAGGAAGCTCAACAGTATGAGTATAGAGACAGAAGCATTGAAAACCAACCAATTGGAAATGAAGAATGACATAGCATAAATGAACACAATGGAGTAGAATAGAGGAGGCTGAGGATCAGATCAGTGAATTAGAAGTCAGGGTAGAAAAAATCGCTCAATCAGAGAACCAAAAGGAAAAAACAATAAAAAAACAGGAAGACAGCCTAAGAGAACTGTGGGACAATATAAAATGTAACAATATCTGAATGTTAGGAGTTCCAGAAGAAGAAGAAAATGAGCAGTGGTTAGAAAATATATTTGAAGAAATAGCTACAGAAAACTTCCCTAACCTGGTCAAGGAAAAAGACAGACAAGTACAAGAAGCACAGAGAGCCCCAAGTAAAAAGAACTTAAACAGGTCCAACTAAGACACATAATAATTAAAATGCAAAAAGTTAGACAAAGAGAGACTCCTAAAGGCAGCAAGAGATAAGCAATAGGTCACCTATAAAAGAACCCCCATAAGGCCATCAGCTGACTTCTCAACAGAAACACTTCAGGCCATAATGGCATGAAGTAACTAAAGTCATGAAAAACAAGGATCTGAATCCAAGACTACTCTAACCAGCACGGCTATCATTTAAAATAGAAGGTGAAATAAAGAGCTTCTCAGACAAAAAAAGGCTAAGGAAATATATCAGCACCAAACCAGCACTGCAAGAAATATTAAAAGGACTGGTGTAATTAGTAGAAGAAATAGGAAGAAAAATATAACCACAATAAATTAAAATGGCAATAAATAAGTACATATCAATAATAACCTAAACTGTAGATGGATTAAATGCTTCGATCAAAAGACACAGAGTAGCTGATGGGAGAAGAAAGCACAATTCATATATATGTTGTTTATAAGAGACCCACTTCACAACAAAAGACTCACATCAGTTGAAAGTGAAGGGATGGAAAAAATCTTCCAAGCAAACAGAAAGGAAAAAAGAGATGGGGTAGCAATATTCATATCTAATAAAACAGACTTCAAAGTGAAGGCCATAACTAGAGACAAAGAAAGCCACTATGTAATATTGAAAGGATCTATCCAACAGGAAGATATAACCTTGTTAACCATATACAGGAGCACCAAAATATATTAAATAAACTTCTGGAGGACTACAAAGGAGAAATCGACAGCAATACAATCATATCAAGGGACTTCAATACCCCATTGACATCACTGGATAGATCCTCTAGACAAAAAATTAACAAGAATACAGAGACTCTAAATGATGCACTAGATAAAATGGATTTAATAGATATCTACAGAGAATTACACCCCAAAACTGCAGAATTCACATTCTTCTCAAGTGCACATGGGACATTCTCAAAGATAGACCACATGTTAGGACACAAATTAAGTCTGTACAAGTTCAAGAAGTTTTAAATCATATCAAGCATCTTCTCAGATCATACTGGCATGAAACTAGAAATCAATTACAACAAAAACACACAAAAAACATTTAAACACATGGAGGCTAAATAGCATGTTATTAATTAAACAATGGATATGTTACCAAGGAGATCAAGGAAGAAATTTAAAACTTTCTGGAAACCAATGAAAACGAACACACAGCAACACAAAATCTATGGAACAAAGCAAAAGTAGTCCTGAGAGGGAAGTTCATAGCACTACAGGCCTACCTCAAGAAACAAGAAAAATTTCTCATTTACTAGCTAACCTTACAACTGAAAGATCTAGAAAGCAAACAACAACAACAACAAAAACCCAGAGCAAGCAAAAGGAAAGAAATAGTGAAGATCAGAGCAGTAATAAATGACATAGAGACTAAAATAACAATTCAAAAGATCAATGAAACAAAGAGCTGGTTATTTGAAAAGATAAACATGATTGATGGACACTTAGCTACACTCACCAAGAAACAAAGAGAGAGAACCCAAATACACAAAATCAGAAGTGAAAGAGGAGAAGCAACAACTGTAACCACAGAAATACAAAGGATCATTAACAAATACTATAAACAATTTTACGCCAACAAATTGGACAATCTAGGTGAAATAGACAAATTTCTAGAAATACATACTCTTCCAAAACTGGACCAGGAAGAGATAGAAAACTTGAACAGACCAATAACAACTAAGGAGACTGAAGAGGTAATCAAGAATCTCCCACCAGCCCTGGCCGGTTTGGCTCAGCGGTTAGAGTGTCGGCCTGCGGTCCTGAGAGACCCGGGTTCGGTTCCCGCTAAGGGCATGTACCTCGGTTGCAGTTTGTCCCCGGTCCTGGTTGGTTGTGCGCGTGGCAGCCACTCGATGTGTCCCTTTCACATCGATGTTTCTCTCTCTCTCTCTGTTCCTCTCTCTCTCCCCCACTCTACCTGAACAAAAAATGGAAAAATGTCCTCGGGTGAGGATTAAAAAAAAAAAAAAAAAGAATCTCCCACCAAACAAAAGCCTGGGCCTGGATGGCTTCACAGGGGGGTTTTACCAAACATTCAAAGAAGAACTAACACCCATTCTCCTCAAAATATTCCAAAAAAATTCAAGAAGAAGGAAGACTTCCAAACTTGTTTTATGAGGCTAGCATAATTCTAATTCTAAAACCAGATAAAGACAGTACA